TGCCTTAGGGAAACCAGGCCAGGCACAGGTAAGTAGGATAGGCTTTCCTTAAGAAGTACAGAGCCCAGAATGCAGCCAGAGCTATCTGTGCTCAAAGCTGACCTAGATAACACCTCTACCCAAAGTAGCAGGTGACCCAGCCCTGAGAACCCGAGGAGCTTTGCTCCTGGCCGTGTGGCCCTAGCCCCGACGACAGGGGCCCACTGCCCACAGCCCGTCCTCGATCAGGAGCTACCCCCTGGCGCGCGGAGGCTTCCCCTGGGTGGACAAAATGTGCCAGATTCCCAACTAAAGAGGACAGTGTGCGGGGGTGGGGTGGGGTGGGGAGCGCGAGTGAAGATGCTCCCCCAGGAAGGTTTGCGAATGAATGCCTGTCGGGAGTGAGAGCGGGAAGCCTGGGGTCTTGGGCAGGACAGTGTCCCTCCAGCACTTGTGCGACCCAGCAACGCCTTTCCAGCTGCCCTAGAATCCCGCAGGGAGGATCCCGTTCCACGATCACACACCTCCTTCCCCGAAGGATTGCGGTGAGCGTGGCGTCACTGTCCTGACTGGGGAGCTGTGTGTGGCGGCGACAAAACCAGTCCAACAGTGGGGCCTGGATTTGTCCACATTCCTCCATCATCCGCCGCGTGCAGGACGACACGAGGGCAGAACCGGCCCCACCTTGCACTTTCTCTCTTTCCAGAGTTGGCATGACACACAAGAGACTCTGCTGGGCGTCCCCGCGCCATACATCCGTCCCCAGCAAACCCCCACCTGGGCGCCTCATCTTTTCCTCAGAGTCATCGCTGCTTCCTGCCACCGTCCCTTTCGGGATTGGAGGCTCCTATTCCTCCACCAAAGTTCTGATTCCTTTGTTCTCCTCAGCTGCAAGTCCCCTGCCCTCAGGTTGCCCGGCCGTATGAGGAAGATGGAACTGAATGAGGAAACAGGCAACTACAACAGAGTGGCCTGGACGCCAGGTGTGGACGAGGTGGGGGCTGGGCAGGTCTCAAAGGCAGGGAGACATCCTGCCCAGAGGGTCAGAGATTTCACAGAGGAGGGCAAGCTTCAGTGGGGTACCCCTCAAGCAAATATTAGCCTCCATTTGTTTACCGGTGACCTCCCTGGGCAGGGTCTGTGATGTAGGTGGGACTGCATCCTCACTGCCTAGCACAGCAATGTTTATCGATACGGATGTGTTGGATTACCATGGGTGAGGACACCAGCTCTCAAGTTAGCACCACCTGCAAACTCACCAGGTAACCTTTGGTTCCTTTCCAGCAGCTTTGAATGTCTGCTCTATGCAGACCTCTGTGACAGGCTAGTGCTGGAAGAAAAGTGATGCATATGCCCTGTGGCTCGTCTTCCAGTAGGGGAGGCGGGAACCTAAGTAAGTAACTGTGCAGCTTTAAAAGCAGGGCGGGGGGTGGGGGGGAGTGCTGCCACAGAGGAAGGCCAGCTGGGCAGCCAGACAGCCCCTCACAGTGGACATTACATTAGTCCGTTCAATGGCCCAGAGCTCAGATACACAAAGCTTTCAGTGCACACAGAGTCCACCTTGCTCAAGGGGGCTAATTCATGCTAAACAGAATCACAGACACCAACTTACTTTTTCCAGCAGCTCTGCGTGCCTGCCATCCAGGGCATGCGCGGAAGTGCATGACTCATATACTCATTCAAGGGTTTCATAAGCACCGAGTGTCCATTATTTAATGAACTGTGAGCACCTGACTGGAGGAACTCATGCAGCCAAATGAGGCGGAGACGCAGAAAGGGGAGGTGGAATTGTGCAATGAGCTTGGCGTCAGACAAGCTGGAGTTCAGACGCATCTTTCCTCACCTATAAAATCGGCACAACACCCCCTCACGTGATTGCTAAAGAGTTCAATGGGATTACATATGCAAACTACCTAGTTTATTTATATTTACCTAGAGATGCTGTGCCACATAATGGTTAAGGAAACAGGCTCTGAGATCAGACAGATCTGGGTTTAAGTTCTAGCTCTGCCATTTACCAGGTATATAATCTTGGGGAAGTTGCCTAATTTCTTCCACCAAGCCTCAGTTTGCTTAGTAAAATGGGAATAAAAATTCCTCATAAGGTCTAAGAAACAAATTAGATAATATATTCAGGAGACTTAGCAAATTCCTAGGATACAATGAGCATTCAACAAATGGTATAAAAAAAAAAAAAAAAAAAAAAAAAAAAAAAAAAAAAAAAAAACAAATGGTATAATTAAGAGTAATTTTTAAGGACTAATATCCAGATATGCAAGGAACTCAACAGCAAAAAACCTAATAACAATTAAAGAATGGGCAAAGGATCTGAATAGACATTTCTCTAAAAAAGATACACAAATGGCCAACCTAAGTGTATGAAAAAATGCTTGACATCTCTAATCATCAGGGAAATACAAATCAAAACCACAATGAGGTATCATCATACCCCAGTTAGAATGGCTATTATCAAAAAGACAACAAATAGGGGGGCATGGGCAATATATGTAACCTTAACACTTGTACCCACATAATATGCTAAAATAAAAAAATTTTTTTAAAAAGACAATAAATAACTAGTGAAAATGTAGAGAAATGGGAACTCATACATTTTTGGTGGAAATGTAAATTACTACAACCATTATGGAACACAGTATGGAGGTTTCTCAAAAAACCAAAAATAGGACTACCATATGATCTAGCATTCCCATTACTGGGCATCTATCCAAAAGAAAGGAAATCAGTATACTGAAGGGATATCTGCACCCCTGTGTTTATTGCAGCTCTAGTCATAATAGCAAAGATATGGAATCAACCTAAATAACAACATCAACAAATGAACACATTAAAAAAAGTGGTATATATAAACAATGGAATATTATTCAGCCATGAAAAAACGAAATCCCATCATTTGAGGCAATATACAATGAGCTTGGGGGACATTACATTAAGTAAAATAAGTCAGGCTCAGAAAGGTAAATACCATGTTCTCACATCATGTGGGAGCTAAAAAACCTGGAGCTCATGGAAGTAGAGAGCAGAATTGGTTAACGGTTACAATATTACAGCTAGATTCCAGAGAGCTCTAGAGGAATAAGTTCTAGTGCTCTCTAGCACTCTAGGGTGAATACTTGTAAGGATAATTTATTGTATATTTTGACAAAGCTATAAGACAGGATTTTGAATGTTCACAAGGCAAAGAAATGATAAATGTCTGAGGTGATGGTTATGCTAATTACCCTGATTGGATCATCACACATTGTATATGTGTATTGAAATACCACTCTATATCCCATAAATATGTACAATTATTATGTGTTAACTAAAAAGAAACGGGGAAAAAAGAACACAAGAGTAATTTTTAAAAGTTGTCCATGTTACATACAAGTGAGTGGTACACATACTAAAAATTAAAGTTAAAATTAGTGCAAACTTCTTTAATGAAATTCAAAATTGGACCATCAGACATATAAAAAATTTACTTTGTATTTATTAAAAAACTTTTCTGAGGCTGCAATCCTCTACCCTTAGTTTCAGGTCCCTATTTTCCAACATAGTTTCTAAAATAATGTCATTTGAGTGCAGCCAAGCAAAAACTTCAATGTTTCAATATTGCTAAGTCATGCTCCACAGTGAAATACAAGCATCGTGTCTGGGATCTACCTTCATATTTTGTCTGACCCTGGTACTCATAAAGCGCTATGCATTTGGCTTAACAATCATACACCAATGTAAACACCCTGTGATTACAACAAAAGCCCCCTGCAGTAAAGGACATAAATCACTTCACAATTCCGGATCGTGCCTTTATGCCCCACCAACACTGTCGGTTTTTAATTGGTTTGTAAAGCTTATGAGTTACGGAAGAGTAATCTTGGATTTCGATAGAAATCAACATACTTTTCAATTCTAACCCTGCAAATTTGACTAGTGCAAAACAAAATGCAACCCCTCATCCACCGCATCCTGTCCTCAGCAACGTTGCTACTTTATGCAGTCGGGGGAATCCACACTGCTGCTCAGGACTTTGCCACGACTGCTTCTTAGAGACCAGAGGAGAGCAGGTTAGACCCGAGAGCCCTCGCTCCATTACAGACAAGTATGTCTTCAAATTGCAGGGTGGACTATGGGCTTTTAAGACTTACTGAAACTTTAACACAAAATCTAAGTTTTGAAAAGAATGGGCATTTCAACAGAACTAAAATATGAGAGGCTTTCTAAATAATAATTTTCAAGTGACTACCTTGGAACCTCATACCTAACACCTGCTCTGGGCTATGGCTTGCCTATCAAGGAAGTCACAGTTCACAAACTGGAGGGGTGGATTCGAGGCGCGGTAACACAAAGTGAGGCGCACTCTGAGCAAAGTGACAGTGGGGCACGAACTAGAGAGCACTTTTCCAGCCTAGGAGAGAAGCAGGTGCAGACCCCGCCAAGAGGCGCTCTCAGGAGGCCCCGGAGTCACACTAATTTGGTGCTTCCTCTTTCTCGAAAGCCGGGAGCCTGAACGCGGAGGGCAGTGACGCGCCTCGCCCGAAACGATGCGACTTGGCTCGAATCACAGGCTCGTCCTGTCGGCAGCCACTCCACACCGACTTTCGGAGAAAAGGCTACACTGAGGATAAAGACCTGGGCCTAGGGAGTGGGAGGAAAAACAATTCATTCCTCTTAATTTGCATTTCTCTGATTAGTAAAAAAAGGAAAACAAAAACTCATTCCTCTAGACCCAACGACGGGCAACCGGAAGAGCAGAGACCAGAGCCCCGAGCCAGGGTGCGCGCCCGCCGCGGGAGAACACTGGTGGACGCCTGCTTCCCGAGAACGCGGACTCGGGAGCGGTTGCAGGCGACAGCCTCCGCGTGACCAGGCGTAACCGCGAAGCCGCGGCCAGGCCCAGGTTAGGCGGGGGAGGGGACCAACCGCCATCTTCCTCCCAGCGCCCAAACCGACAAAGCACGGCCCCCCACCTGGGCCGTTCCTGCTCTCGCGAGACCCGAATGCTGCGCCGCGAGGGTCTCTGGGAAACGCGAGGGGGGGCGGGGAGGAGAAGGAAGCCGGGACCCGGGGCTGGAGGCGGGCGGAGGCCGCGAGTGGAGCCTCAGGAAACAGAAAGGGCGGGGAAAAGCGCGATTGACGCAGTATGCGGACCAATGAAAAGCGGGCTCTGGCGGGCCTCCGGCCAATGGGCACAAGGGCCTGGTGCGGAGGGCGGGCGCTCAGGCCGAGGGTAGCTTGAGCGCGGCGGCGGCGTTGTTCAGTCAGAGCGAGAACATTCCAGAGGTGAGTCCGGTGGAGGGGCGGTGGCCCCGCGCCCCCTGCCCAGTGCTCCCCGCCCCTTCGACCCCCGCGGGCCGCTGGCTGGCGGGGAAGGCGCCCTCCCCGACCCGCCCGCGGCTCACGGCGCCGTCTCTCCGCGCCCAGGTCGCCAGGCTCCGGCGCTGACGGGTGTGGACCCCGGACGTCGCTGGGACAGCCCCTCCCCGCTGCTCGGCGGCGGCACCTGGCCCGGCCGCTCCTCCGCTGCGCTCCGCCGCCGCCTCCGCCGACTCGGACTCGGGTTTATAACGTGCCTCACTTCATCCCAGTCCCGGGCGAGCAGCGTTGGGTTTATGTCTTTATTTGACGAAAACGGTGAGTCGCGGGCGCGGCGCGGCCGGGGACATGGCGGCCGCACAAGATGGCGGCGGCCGCCGCGTGACCCTGCCGCGGCGTGTGGCGCAGTTTGGGGGGGCGGGCCGGGCGGCGGGCCCGGGCCCCGCGGCGCCCCCAGCAACCCGCCCGGGCGCCCCTCGCCCCCTCCTCTCCCCCGCGGGAGCGCGCGCCGCGCGTGCCCGCCGCCGCCGCGGGCTGAGTCAGGCCTTAATTGCTGCATTTGTGAGTCATCGCGCGCGGCGGGGGCGGGGGCGGCCCGAGCCCGGGCGCCCTCGGCCGGGTTTCGTTTCCGCCCTCCGCTCTGCTCTCTGCCTGGCGCTCGCCGGGGGCGCCGGCTCAGGGGACACGCTGGGAATGTGCCCCCACGCCCTGGCCGCTCGCCGCCCCCCTTCGCAGGGCTGCCCGGGACGGCCTTTCCAGCCGCTGCCCGGAGGCCCGGGAGCCGTGGTAGCCATGGGAACGAGGGCGAAGGTTAACTGTTGTTTGAATAGCGAAGAAAAGGGAGAATAGGTCGAGGTTGGATCTTGGCGTTCTCTTGCTCTCCCTTCCTTAATGCACACTCCAAGACAAATGGTTCGTATTAAGGAAGTGCTGCTTTGAAGTAAGCCATGGTTGCTGAAGCAACAACTAGTTATAAAGAACAGTCCCGTGGTTTCCCGTTTTAAAATGATGGCTAATGGAGGATGGAGGTGTGTTGGAGGAAATTTGTTAAAGCAGGCTTGGGTTGGGGGAGGAGGCTTGTATTTTTTAGCAGTTAAAATATGGTCCCTCCACAGAAGCAAATCATTGCCCTGCTGATGGCCTTTGGTCTGATACAAATCCACAACAGCTGAGGCAGCAGTTTGTTTTTATCAGACATTCCCTACCAGAGTTACAGCTTAGTCAAAATGGGAGCCTTTTATGTTCCTACAGGTGTGTCCTGTTATATGAGAATGTTAGCTGTTTTGCTTGTGAACTCAGTTGCTTTGTAACGTAGAATTAATTAGCATGACTTACTGGGATGTTAATGTGTTCCTGTTCAGGAATGTTAAAATTGGAATTTTTGTGTTTTTCCAATTTCTCTTTCAGAGCTGTTGCGCAGCCATTGGTACCTGTATTGGGGAAACATAGCATACAAGCAAGAAGCTTACAGCCTCAGTGGCGAAAATTTTTTCATGTCAGAGACCGAGAACTCTTGCAGTCGTTTATGTCATCCCTTCTTCTCCAGACAGAAGATACCAAAAAGTTGCAATCAAAGATCTCTTCATCGTATTGATAAAGCCACTAATAAGCCAAAATGTCTGTCAACGTCAACCGCAGTGTGTCAGACCAGTTCTATCGCTACAAGATGCCCCGTCTGATTGCCAAGGTAATACTGATCTTCCTTTTTGTAGGAAGTTGATAGCTCTCTTCGTAGATTTTTAAAGATTGCATCTCACAGGGAAGACTGCAAAGTTAAAATTCTTATTTCCTTTAGGTTGAGGGCAAAGGAAATGGAATCAAGACAGTTATAGTCAACATGGTTGACGTTGCAAAGGCGCTTAATCGGCCTCCAACGTGTAAGTAAAGCTTGGAGAAGCCTGAAAGGGCGTATTATGGATACAGTCTTTGAACTGCAGAACTTGGCTGAATTGTATGTTAATTAGCTTAAAGGTTGAGTGTGGACTTTTTCCACTTGGAAAGTAGAATTTATTGATTACCTTAAGTTTACAAAACTAGGGCAACACATTTGTTTAACCCAATAATTAAAAAACAGTGATGCTTGTGTAAATATGGATGAGTAGCCAAAGATTAATTTAGTTAACTGTAATGATTCAGACTTTTTTCCCCCCCTCAAATAGATCCCACCAAATATTTTGGTTGTGAGCTGGGAGCACAGACCCAGTTTGATGTTAAGAATGACCGTTACATTGTCAATGGATCTCATGAGGCGAATAAGCTGCAAGACATGTTGGATGGATTCATTAAAAAATTTGTTCTCTGTCCTGAGTGTGAGAATCCTGAAACAGATCTGGTAAGTACCTTTGAGGTTTTGCGAAAGAAAAATACATGTATGCTTTATCAGTTCTGTGATACCACTAAATCATGTTCCTGAGAAGTCTGAACAGATGTAATTGTAAAAAATGCAAAACCTCAAGTTCATACTTGTTTTTTTTTTTTTTTCTTTTTTTTTATTATTTTACATAGAAAGTACTGGAGTGAACATACTTGTTTTTTTTAACAAGTCACTGTTCAAAAGATTTGTTTTGTAAAGCTGGTATTTTAGATGACTTCTGAGGATTATATATTTTCCCAGAATTTTTCATCTTACGAATGACATACTTGTTTTTACTCTTTTGGCAGCATGTCAATCCAAAGAAGCAAACAATAGGTAATTCTTGTAAAGCCTGTGGCTATCGAGGCATGCTTGACACACATCATAAACTCTGCACATTCATTCTCAAAAACCCACCTGGTAAGTCTTCATGATGAATGCTAAGATCTTAACGTGAAACAACCAGTTGTTGGAAACAAAAGTGAAAGGTGTTTTGTTACAAAACTGGAATATAAGGGCGCTGTAATCCTTGTACTATTTTATTAAATCTGAGGCTCCGTTGGAAAATGTACGATGATTTTACTTACCATTAAAGGTGAAAAAGATTCTGCCATGTATATCTATTTTAAGACAGGTTATTTTAGAATGGATGAAATTATTATAAAACAGACTTATGTTGGGAATCCAATTAAGGATCTACTTCTGGTACTGTTTTGTGTATGAGGGCTTAACTCATTAAATTCATTAAATGTCCTTAGAGCATTGCAAGCAACACTCTGTGGCAGATGATCAAAACTGTCTGACACAATTTGAGCTTGCTATAGCAAGAAAGTCTAACCTATTCCGGTGTTCTCTTTCCGTGAGACAAGCCGTTATATAGACTTAAACAGTGTTCCAACTATTGGCGTAGCTGGGTTTTGAGGTAGGTCCTTGTTCAAGTTTATGAGGGATGGTGAAGGGGGGTTCATCCACCTTTCACTGCCTGGTCATCTGTGGCATCACCAACTTATCTTAATCTTCCCCAACAGTTAATACCCCCAGTATTTTGTCAGTCCATTCTTAGCCTGCGTTTCTCACCTGTGATGAATTTGATCTGTGAAGAAGCCCCTTAGAGTTATAGATTGTGTTATGTGGGTTTTCAGAGGTGATCCATAGCAGAAAGGCTGAGCTTTAAATGTGTATGATGGGCATTGAGGTGTAATATGAACTATGGAACTAAACTCCTGTTTTCCTTGTTTTTTCTTGCAGAGAATAGTGACAGTAGTACAGGAAAGAAAGAAAAGGAAAAGAAAAATAGAAAGGGCAAAGACAAGGAAAATGGCTCTGTATCCAGCAGTGAGACACCACCACCACCACCACCAAATGAAATCAGTCCTCCACATGCTGTGGTGAGTGCAGGGTTGATGGCATGGTAGGCACAAAAATTGCGTAAAGTATGTGGCATTTGGTGGAAGTGGACAATGTCAACTGTATTTTGGATTCCAAGTGTTGCTGCTTCAATTAAATTGAATTTATTTTGGTAGGAAATTAGCTTGATGCTATTAACTTGACAAAATTTTTACTATTTTTTCTATTAAGGCCTTTGACCAAGCATTTGATTTTGTAAACAGGAAGAAGAGGAGGACGATGATTGGGGGGAGGATACAACTGAGGAAGCTCAAAGGCGGAGAATGGATGAAATCAGTGACCATGCAAAAGTTCTGACACTCAGTGACGATTTGGAAAGAACCGTTGAAGAGCGCGTAAATATCCTGTTTGATTTTGTCAAGGTAAAACATTTCCTAGATGTATAAATCAACTTCATCTTAACCTTGGGCTTTTAGATGTTTATAGCTTTCAGCTGGGTAATTGGTAATTTTCATGATATCTTTAGAATATTCTAATGCAAGGCTTTTTTTTTTAGCTTTTCTGTTGATTGATTAAATTTTTTTTTTTTTTTTTTTTTTTTGAGACAGAGTCTCACTTTGTTGCCCAGGCTAGAGTGAGTGCCGTGGCGTCAGCCTAGCTCACAGCAACCTCAATCTCCTGGGCTCAGCAATCCTTCTGCCTCAGCCTCCCGAGTAGCTGGGACTACAGGCATGCGCCACCATGCCCGGCTAATTTTTTGTATACATATTTTTAGTTGGCCAATTAATTTCTTTCTCTTTTTAGTACAGACGGGGTCTTGCTCAGGCTGGTTTCGAACTCCTGACCTTGAGCAATCTGCCCGCCCCGGCCTCCCAAAGTGCTAGGATTACAGGCGTGAGCCACCGCGCCTGGCCTAATTAAATATTTTTTGAGGGTGGTTCTGGGCACTGTCTTTAGCAATTGTGTATCATTTAGAAATTAAATTCAAAGGCCAGATGCAGTGGCTCACACCTAAAGTTAAAGCTAATCAGGATGCTGAGGCAGGATGATCACTTGAGCCCAGGAGTTGAGGCTGCAGTGAGCTTGATTGTGAAGAAATTATAAATTCTATCGGGAGAAATAGGTCCATGAAGGACTAACTGGTATCCCAAGCCTAGCAAAGTGTGTCTCCATTTCACTGAATTATTTCCTTTTTATTTGCAGAAAAAGAAAGAAGAGGGTATTATTGACTCATCTGACAAAGAAATTGTTGCTGAAGCAGAAAGACTGGATGTAAAAGCCATGGGCCCTCTTGTTCTTACTGAAGTTCTATTTAATGAGAAGATTAGAGAACAAATTAAGAAATACAGGCGCCATTTCCTACGAGTAAGCTAATTGTTTTAAATGAGATAACAGCTGCGTGACCTTAGGACTGTCGATTTAACCACTTTTGCTAGTTTTTTGTCCTGAAAGTGGAGATAATTGACCCACCTGATAAGCCTTTGAGCATTTGAAAATGCTGTACATAGGCCTTTATAAATAAATATAGGGATGTTTATGCATTGACCTTTTTGAACTTCTGTTTTATGGGCCATACCCTTAAGGAACAATTTTAAGGGAATGACTATTTGGATACTAGAATTGTCAACTTAGAACATCTAAAAAAGTTTGTTTCCACAAATGTTCGAGTGCAAAAAAAAAAAAAAAAATTAAAAAAGTTTGTTAATGCCAAGATGTCTATTTGCAGTTCTGTCACAACAACAAAAAAGCTCAACGGTACCTTCTTCATGGTTTGGAGTGTGTGGTAGCAATGCATCAAGCTCAGCTCATCTCCAAGATTCCTCATATCTTGAAGGAGATGTATGACGCAGACCTTTTAGAAGAGGAGGTCATCATCAGCTGGTCGGAAAAGGTGGGGTATATACTTAGTGATCTTATCAAGTTCAAAAGTATTAAAGAGGTGTTGATTTTTTTTGGATGAAGTGATTTCTGGTCTATGTTAAAATGCAGTCCCTGAGCTTGACTGGTAGAACTTGTAGGTGCTTCCCCACTGTGTCAGCTTTGTAGTCATAACAGCAGAAACTGCTTTAGAATCTAATAAACGTATTTGTTGAATATGTCTATTCTGTTGAGGATTCAAGATTAAGATGACCTAGTGCCCTCAAAGAGCTCAGAAGAGGAGGGGAGGGGGATTATATAAATCCAAAGTAAATTAAAGTTCTTAAACTAAGAAAATTGTACTGAACATTTTTTAGGCCTCTAAGAAGTATGTCTCAAAAGAACTTGCCAAAGAGATTCGTGTCAAAGCAGAACCATTTATAAAATGGTTGAAGGAGGCAGAGGAAGAATCTTCTGGTGGTGAAGAAGATGATGAAGATGAGAACATTGAGGTAAACACTGGGGGAAGTGTTGAATGTGGTGTTGGCAATAGGTGTTTGAAATTAAAAGGTTTGTGAGCAGTAATATAAAATGGGAATTTTAAGTAGCTTCAGATTTAAGGTGCAATAAAATGCAGCCTCAGTATATTGGAAAATCATAATAGGGTGGTGGAGATTGCTCCTACCCACAGATGTTATGGTCTATAAAGACTAAAAAGATATGTTTAGACTGTAGAGACCATGTCAGATAACTTTTAAGTTTTTCTATTAACAAAACTGATGAAGAATGATAGCTGCATCTAGGCTGTTTTCTACTTTGTGACCACAATTTATATTTATTTATAAGCAGGTTTATTGGGACAAAGGTTTGTAATCAATAAAATCGTTTTTTATCAGGTGGTGTATTCGAAGACTGCCAGTGTACCGAAAGTTGAAACTGTGAAGTCTGATAACAAGGATGATGACATTGATATTGATGCCATTTAAAGGGATGGATGCAACCTAGCTTAACAATGTAATGCTGCAAATTTTTCTCATTTATCAGCCAGAAGTGCAACATGTATGTGCAAAAAGCTAAAATGGCTTAACATCATGCTACACTTTATACTAAAAATCTGTTACTGTGAGTGGTCTGTAATTAAGCCCAATGAGACATCTAGGGAGTCCATACACAAATCAGTGAGCAGATGTAGTTTGCTTATTTATAGCATGTTTCTTTTTGAAAAACTAGTGGTGGACACATTTGGATCACATTTATACAGTTATAAAGATATTTGATTTTGGTCATTCTTCAGATTTTTGGCTCTGAATGACTTAAGCTGAAGCAATAGGCTCCTTTTTAAAATGTTGCACCATTGTTTAACTGATAGCATTCTTGGAGCCTGTTAGGTATTAGGTGCTGAGACCATAAAGAGGTCTTAAGCAGAAGGTAAAACAAACTTACTTGTAATTACCTTAATTCAGCCATTAAGAAATATAGTACTTTATAAGTTTCCTCTAGTCCCTCAAATTGGCATCTGATAATGTATATTCTGAGGTAAACTGAGACAGTACAACATCTTACTGAGAAGTAAAAATGTTCTGAGTGTCCTATAAATAATTGTAAGAGCAGGACTTGAAATTTGGAATTGTGTTTTTTTCAATTTGTGTACACTTGCCCCCAATTTGTAGTCTTTGAAGTCATGTGCATTGCACGTCGGATGAGCCAGGGAAATTATTACATTAACAAATAAGCATTTTATGTGTATGTAGTGGTTGCTTTGTACTGAGATAAAAACTCACTTTGGGGTGTGATTAAATATTAAACTATGATTTCTACTTGGGGGAAACAGGAAAAGGTGCACTTAATCTCTGGCAAAAACTAAGCATAATTTTTCAGCTTTTGTCCTTATGGTTTAAATTATAATTTCAAAATGTTTAGACTTTATCTTTTGTTCGGTGTGGGTTTCTTTTCCCCTTATGGTTTGTTCTTTAATGCCTTTTACATTTGGATGTGTAGCTTATGCTTTTTAGATTTTGGTTGCTATCTTGCCAAAATAAGTGTTACTGTGTTTCAAACTTGATATTTTTTCCCCAAAAAATGTCTTATTTAAAAAGAAACAAAGCTAAAAGCATACTTCTAAGTCAGAGCCTCTATTTTGGTGTAAGACTTGGGATAATTTTTACTTCACATTGAATATATCCAGGCACCCAAGAAGTCTGTGATGATGGCCACTGAGTGCAAGGACAGGGGCCTGAGCCAGCCCATCTAGGGCTTTACATTTGGACACATGAGAGTTAATAACTTGTGAACTCCTTGCCCAATTGGCTGATCTGAACTCGGTAGGGGTTCTTGATGATATTTGAGTAATCACCTTCCAGGGAAACACTTTACTGCATTTAATTCCTTTCCACAAAAAGTGCACAGTGGAAATTAAGAATGCATATGGTTAGTTTTGTTTGGAGCACTGGCTTACATCATTCACCTGTCATTTCTTTGTGACCCATCTCACAGATTGAGACCTTAATAACAAATTCTTTTGCATTGAAATTATACAAACATTTGATGTAATAAAATCTTGTTAGCTTGATATCTTAAGGAATTGAAACCTAGCAGTCTTACTGGAGAGGTAAGAATTGGCCTCCAGCTGCCTTTTGATAGATTCTGGTGAGAGAGGAGCAGGAGCCACATACCCAGAGGGGAATGTGCTTTGACACACCAAAGAGAAGATGTTTTTTGCAAATTCACATGTTGCCTAGGTTTCAAATTCTTGCTGCAAGGCCGATTTGCTTTCATTAACTGAAATTCTGGTGATCTAAGCTAAGTTGCATTCAGCATACTCAGTGTCAAGCTAATGAGGTTCTGTTATAAAGCTTTTACTTTTTAATCTGAAGGAAAACATGTTCAGGGCTTCTAAACACTAAAGAGAAAATTTTGGCTTAGACCAGTGTTCAGTCTGGTGCCAAACTTACAATGGAGTTCAAATTCATATAACCTGAGCTTTATTCACAGGTTATCCTAATAGAGTAATTCTTCACTTTGCTCTATTGAACTGTCTTAAAATTTCCTGTTTCAAACAGCTAAGTTACTTGATTAAAACAATGTTAAAATTATATTTTTGTCTCTGCTTTAATATTAACATTAACCTAAGTTTTCATTTTCTAATGATCAAAGCATTGAAATCTGCCCTGTCTTGTAGCTGCTGCTTTGGATTTGTGTTAGACATATCCTTCTGCAGTTAACACTTGCCAGCCCTACTCAAAAAACAGATGTTGCTCATTTCATTGGGTCACTGGCTTTCCTTAGGTCCTATGGTCTTGTTCTGTGAACTGAATCTGCCTCAATTTTATAGTTCCTGAAAACTGACAGATACTTACTAAGAAATTCTAACATATAGCTGTGTAACTGTGAATATAATATATATCTCTAGTTAAGAATGAGGGAATAGGGAAGATAGCTTTCTAAGCAAGTTCATTCTGAAGTTGACAAACTTAAGGTATAGTTGAGGTCCTAAAAGTTTAGAGAGGGGCAGGAAGTATTCTGTGTAATCAGTGCTGCTTGAAGGGCAGGGAAGGAGTTGGGGATATTGGGATTGAGCCCTGAGCTGTTACCTCCAGTGTACCAACCACTGACTCCAAGCCTTTGACCTGGGGATAACTTAAAGCTGGCCCTCCTCAAAGAGCAGATTACTGGAGTAAATTTGAACCTCTTCATTTTCCTTTAGCTGAATCCTCAAAATGGTCCTGAGGGGTAGTTACTGTTGTACCACAGTCATTCATCTAGTCTGACTCCTATACCCAGCCATTTTGTCCCTCTTGTACTGCTGAGATGTGTTTAAAATCAAACAAAATAATTTTGTTTGTGTAGAACTTGACTTTTAACAAAACCACCAAACCATAATTAAGGTATTTTAAATTTCCCCAGCATGTCTGTAAACCGTGCTCATCCGGTCAACTACTTTTCTAATTGCCACAGCTTTACCTACTAGTATTCCAGAGTAACCAAAAAGATAGAGTTGGCCCTATTCCTGCATTGTCTTGAACTTTTGAAATTTTGGCCTTTCTGACCACTCCTAATTTTCAGAGCAATCTCAGTACCAGGAAAAATGCTGCACTGTGTCACGTGCTGCACGATCCCTCCTTCCTGAGGGGACAGGGAGTCATTCATCTCTGTCCCCAGTGCGTCATAGGGACGTTGGTTCATAATGATGCATAGGTTGTGACAGGGATGGATGACCTGCCAAAGGCCTCATAGCAAGTTTGTGTACTGGTGTGACCCTGTGAGCCTTTGTCAGGCCGGGAGCTCAGGATTTGTACCCACCCACACAATAGGACTCCCATCCTGGCCCAGAGAATGTCCTTTATAGAAATCAGATCTCTCATTTTTTCTTTGTAGAGACAGGGTCTTCTCACACCTGCTCAGGCTGGGCTCAACCAAGCCTGCCTTGGCCTTCCAAAGTGCTGGAATTACAGGCATGAGCCATCACACCTGGACATAATCTGTGTGGTTCTTTAAGGCCAGGAAATGGAACAAGTGTGTGCTGAGGTGTGGGAATTATAGCTAGAGTTCTTTCAGGACCTAGACCAAGAAGTGCAGTGTTAGGACCTTGGTGTGGAGAGTAGGGTCTTGAGTTGGCCCTAATGTCTGATAATTCAATGATTTCTTTAAGGGGTGGAGTATTCTCTTGGGCTTTGGGGTAGTTAAACCTGGGTTCTGGCCTCTTGGTGTGGAGAGTAGGGTCTTGAGTTGGCCCTAATGTCTGATAATTCAATGATTTCTTTAAGGGGTGGAGTATTCTCTTGGGCTTTGGGGTAGTTAAACCTGGGTTCTGGCCTCTTGGTGTGGAGAGTAGGGTCTTGAGTTGGCCCTAATGTCTGATAATTCAATGATTTCTTTAAGGGGTGGAGTATTCTCTTGGGCTTTGGGGTAGTTAAACCTGGGTTCTGGCCTGGGCCTCCCTATAAAACTATGGGATTGTCTTTCCATATCTGTGATAGGGAAGGTATCCCTGTGCAACAGAATCCTGCTGGGAGCCTAATGCTGTGGAAGGAAGTAGTGTCAGGCTGTGGCAGTAGGGAAAGTTATGTCTAGAAGGGGATGATAGGGCAGAACACGTACTGGGACCTCCAGACACCTGGAGCAGAGTCACAACGCAATGATCAGTGGGCAGCTGAACTGGAAAAGCTGCTCTTGGTTGTGGAGCAGTTTCAGGGAATAGGCTTTGCCTCAAGTAGCACCCTGGTGTTCCATAGGTGGTTGTCACCAGCAACATTGATTCTGTAGTGCCCAGAGCAAGCCAGGTAAGTGGCTGCAGACTGGCTACGCCCTCCTGAGATCCCATAATGGTAGCACCCTGAACCATTAGGCAGCCCAGCCTGACTTGGCAAGGCCCCAGCAAGCAGAGCTTTGGCCAACAGATGTGCTAGTTGGAAGCTCACACCACCATGGGACAGCCAAGAGTTGGTGCTAGAGATGCCTAGTCCACAGTCCCCACATGGTCCCCATGCGGGGAAAACAGGCCCCAGAGCCCCTGATAGCGTTGTGGTCCCAGGGCTTGTGAGAGAAAGATCTCTGCCTACCTGTGTAGTTGAGGGGCTTCCCCGGAAGGCAACCTTGCAGGCTAGCTAGGTGAAGAGGAAAGAGTGTCCCGAGCATTAGGAATGACAAGGAGACAGGTGAGGGCTGATGTGGGGGAAGCTGGCCAGGCTGATCCACTGCCAGCATTTCTAGCACTGAAGGGATCCTTCCAAAGTCCGAGCTAGTCTTGGTGGCACGGGGATTGGGTTACACCTAACAAGAAACAAGCCCAGAGTAATAATTGGCCCAAGGTTCCACAGCAAACCCATGTTGGGCCTGGACCCTATAACTCCTGCTACCCAAGCCATTATGTTGTCCTTTCTGTGGCCCTCAGGCCCTATTGCTTCTATGGAGGACTTAAGGGTAGAGGTAAGGAAGAACTTTCTGGACTTCAGAATGATTACACAGTGGAGGGAAGACTTGGCATAGCAGCTGTCAGGGTCCTTGGGTGAAATCTGAAGGGACCATCTCCAGACTGGAAAACAGTCCTGGACAGAAGCAGGTGCCATCTGCTCAGTCACCCTACTGGATCCTTGAGTCTTTGCTCCCTGCCTGGCTTTGGTTGGGCAAGCTCACACTTGACTCCAGGTTTGCTCCCCTATTCCCCGAGAAGAGCTCCCAGGCCCACGCAAGACAAATGGCAGATGTAGAACTTTAGAGGAGGGAGGAAGTGATTGAGAGCTTTGAGGATGGCGTTGGAAAAGAGGCACCATTTGTACTGGCTCTCAAAGGGTAGGCAGGAGTTTGCCTCTGAGGGGAAACGGGCAGAGCACCCTTGTTGGGTGGTGGGGAGGCAGCGACAGGTCCTCAGGGACAAGCTCACATCTGTGTTCCCCTGTGCCAGGGAGATTAAGAGGCTGTGTGAATTGAGCCAGGAATCGGGGGACGATGTGTGACTGACACGGCCAGCAGCAGCCATGGAGGTAGACTGGTCAGAGGAAGACGTACTTCAGCCTAGGAAGGTCAGGTTGCCAAGCAGCCTGGCTCTCCATCCTGAGGGCACACTGCCCCTCCCAGATCAGAGAGAGTAGCAGGCCCAGGCTCCTGTCCCGCAGGCAGCAGAATCTCCAAACTCCCAGGAGCTGTGAAACTGCCCCCTCTTGAGACCAGGATCTCCAGTTTGGGATCTGCTTAAAGGCTTGTGCCCAGGACGGGGTCCTCAGAGGTTCAGGGCCTGAGTGACTGCAGGGTTTTCTGTTATGGCCTCCAGATCACTGACAACCCTCTGTAGTTACAGATTTGGGGTCCTCAGATCTGACCAGTCTATTAGTCTAGTTCTTTTTTTTTTTTTTTTTTTGAGACCAGAGTCTCACTTTGTTGCCCAGGCTAGACTGAGTGCCATGGCGTCAGCCTAGCTCACAGCAACCTCAAACTCCTGGGCTCAAGCAATCCTCCTGCCTCAGCCTCCCAAGTAGCTGGGACTACAGGCATGCGCCACCATGCCTGGCTAGTTTTTTCTATATAAGGTGGCCAATTAATTTCTATTTATAGTAGAGACAGGGTCTCACTCGCTCAGACTGGTTTCGAACTCCTGACCCCTAGCAATCCGCCCGCCTCGGCCTCCCAGAGTGCTAGGATTATAGGCATGAGTCACCGCGCCGCCTAGTTCAGTTCTTTTGATGACAAAATACAAAGTAACCCTAAGTCACAAACACTTGGGGGAAGGGGACAGTTTTCCAAAGATTCACAGGGTAATGGAATCACTGGGAGCTTCACAGCATAAGCCTGGCCTGGTGAGGACCCGGAGACACCAGCAGGTCCAGCCCTGTGGACGCATCGTACCCACCCGTACTGTACGATTCCAACTGTAGGACATTGTAAAAAGGTGAAACGAGACGGTAAACACATCAATGGTGGCCTGGGGTTAGGACTAGGGAGGAGGAGAAGCATAGCACAAGGATTAGGGCAGTGAAAGTGTTGTGTGTGATACTGTGAGGGTGCATATGTGTCATCACACATTTGTACAATCTGACCTGTGAGACGCACAGCGCCATGATGAACTCTAATGTAGCTATGGACTGTGTGTGATAATGACCTGTCATTGTTGGCTCATCAATTGTAACAAATGTACCCCTCTGGCAGGGACATGTTCGTGGTGGGGAGAGCATGGGAACTCGAACTCTACCTTCTACATAATTTTGCTGTGAACCTGTAACTTCTCTTTTTAAAAGGTCGATTTGTAAGAAAATAATCAAAGTTACTTTTTTTTAAAAAGACTAGTGGAAAAATTGAGCATTTAAAAAGGAGGAAAACTTGAACGAGTGAGATGTAGTATGAGTTCAAAATATATAATGTATAATGAGTTCAAATATATTTAAAAACCCAAATGAAACTAAATGGAATTGGCTGGGTGTGGTGGGAGGATTGCTTGAGGCCAGGAGTTTAAGACCAGCCTGAGGCTGGGCAGGGTGGCTCACACCTGTAATCCTAGCACTCTGGGAAGCCAAAGGTGGGAGGATTGCTCAGGGTCAGGAGTTTGCAACCAGCCTGAGCAAGAGTGAGACCCCGTCTCTACTACAAATAGAAAGAAATTAAT